TGTTTGGCGTCGTCATCTTCTGGGGTTCAATTTCCGGCACGGGCAAATACCACACACTGGAAGCTGCCGAGTTCCGAATGTTAAAGATTTTTTTTTGTTCATCTCATCACCGCGATGCTGATATCCCGGTAGAATTATAATTAATTCGTGTCGAGGTGGGCGGGGGGAGGGTTGGGAAAACCTAGAAGTCATATAGTGGGCGAATGTTTTGGGGAATGGTCCTGACGCTACGGAGCAGGGGCGCGGGGGGCGAGCGGACAGCGTCCATTGATATCATCCAAGTCACTTGATGACACTTTTCCACTGAAGACCTTCCGCGGTGAGATTCTCTCATCATTGAATTCCCGGTCTGGCGTAACCCTAACCCGTGTGTTTAAACCGAGTACTCCTATTAGTCTGTCAGCGTAACGTTGGCTGGCAGGGTTTGTCAGCACACAAACATTACTTCCCTCCCATGTGCTGAGGCTTCTCATCCTAGCCTTATGCAGACCCTGCCCCCCCCCCCCAACCCAGCAGTACAAGATTTTAAGTGTTGAGGGTTGCTGCGATACTACGCGATATCGTACGATAGATACATCCTGGTCTTTCTGAGTTCTCACCTGGTTGAACAAAGTAAACTTTCCCAAAAAAAACGGGGAGAGCAAGTGGCTCGCAATTGGAACGTTGTGAGTTCACATCCAGGTTGTGGTGGTGGGGGGAGGGGGTTTGACTCAGTCCATTATCCCTCCAGGGTCGAGAAAATGAGCATCCACTTGGGTGGGGGGAGTCAACGGTGGGGTGTCCCTGTGGATAAACTCGCCCTCACTTTCTTTCTTATTGTGTTCAGTCGGTGGTCCTTACCCCGCACCTCCGATTAGCACGGTTGGCTACGTGCGGTGCGAAAGAGGGTCGAACGTACGTGCGTCCGCCCCACCCGCGGGAACGTGGAGTTTCCACCGCTGGCTGTGCAGGGCTCGTCAACAGGACGTGCGAGCATCCATGCCTCGAAGCTTATTCGAGGAGGAAAATACTTTTGACTTTCGTAAGCTTTTGTGCATGTATAGGGGAGCTTGCTACAATGTAGCCCAGGGGGGACTCGCCCGACTGCAGCTGTGACCCTCTGTTTGTCACGTAGGCTTCCGCGACCAATATCATCTACAGTGGAGGCTTTTTTGCTGGTTGAGTCGTGTGAATGTAAATGTGGTCAAACCCGCCGTCGCCACGAAGCAGCCAGTTGGTAAGATTTGTCACGTAAACAAAACCACGGACAGCACAGGGGGTTGCGTGTCAGAGAGTAAACCCGCGACATTTACAATTTTGAGTACTGTGATGTTCCGCTGTGCTCGGCACCGGCTTGCGAATCGTCATTAGTTTTGCCAGTGTCGGGGAATGTTGCCGTGTAGTCCGTTTCAAATTTATATATATATATAAGATCAGTGCGGCGATTGGTATTGTCTGTTGAATGAAATGCTGCTTGATCGTTTATTGAGCATTGCACAGAGAAAATAGCGATGTTGACAATTTTGATTATGGTTAGTTATGGGTGCATTGAAAAGCTATTTCCGTCGTCATGAACGTCACGGTTGGTTCCATTGCCGTCATTTGTGTCACCGGTCACGACATTTCTATCAACAACGCGGATGGTGTCAAGAGTTGTGCGTTTGCCGTCTTTTGACCAGAATATCGAACGCCGATTAGAAAGAAGGCTGAAGGCTGACGGAGCAAGCCAGACACAATACAAGGGAGAGAGGGAGAGCCGGCACTAACGAGAGCGATGGACGGCATAAACGAGAGACGTAACTGAATCGCATTACTGGGGTGAGGGCGGGCGAATTGTTACACATGCCGAGTGTAGCACGTCTAATCGGAGCCAGAAAGCACCCCTCTGTTTATCGATCTACGCTGAGCGCGACTTGTCGTCCGACCGTGCCACGGCTCCGAACGTAGGCATTTGAGGCTCAATAAAGGCGGCAGTAGCGGAGATGGTGGGGCCTGCGAGCGCACGCGACCCCTCGCGCCCTCCTCGCGCGCTCCCGAGACATTGACGCCCCTCGTTTGAGCCGTGCCCCCCCCCCCCCCCCCCCCGTTTCGCCGACGATCGCGCGGGCGGTGGCGATCGTACGCCAGTGACTCCAGGACGACGCGAGACGGCGTCGCCCCCAACACCCCCCCCACCGTCCATCGCCGCGCGAGCGACGATGCCGGGTCGTCACTCGATCGTCCACCCCGACTCTCCGCATCCCCTCTCTGTCTCTCCCTTCCTTGCCATATCCACTCCCTCCCTTGGCTCCATTTCCCTCCCTCCCTCGGCTCCATTTCCCTCCCTCCCTCTTCATCTCTCCTTCCTCGCCACATCCGCTCCCTCCATCTCCTCCCCTCCCTCCCTTTTCTCCGTCTCTCTCTCTCCCTCCCTCCGTCTCGCTCGCTCGTTTGCTCGCTCGACACCCTCCCTCGCTCCCTCCCCATTACCCGCGGGCTCGTTAGCGGCTAATTAATGCCAATTAATGGGTAATTGCAGCAATTAAGAGGCGAGCCGCGAGGAAGCGGGGACCCCGCGCCGCCGATCCCACGCGCCGCTCTTCGCGCTCGCGCGGGCGTGAGGGCGGAGTGGGGGGGGGAGGCCGCGGGGGGGGGGGGGGATTTGCGTGCGAGCGATTTGCATTAATCCGACGTTGTTTATGAGGCTCGCGGCGGCCTTTACTGCTCCCCACAATCGCGACGCGTCCCGCGTTCCGCCGCGTTCTCCCTCTCTCTCCCCTCTGTTCTCTCCCCCCCCCCCCCCTTTCCTCTCTGTTCTCCTCCCTCCATCTGTCTGCTCTTTCTTGGCCGAACTCTCGAGTCTTCCGATGAGTTTGTCATCGGGTGGCGTCGGTCCGGCACGGTGTCCCCCGTCCTCCCCCCCCCCCCCCCGGACGTTTTTCCACGCTGCTCCGCTGGGAGCTGCGTCGAAAACACGCCGGAGAGCCGTAGCACCGCAGTCGCGATGACCTACGCAGTCCCCGCCCACCGTCCTACCCACCCGCTCGCCAGCCCCCGCCATCCTCCCTCTTTGTCTTGTGGTGGTGTCTCGGTGCCCTGTGGGCCACCCCTTGCTGCTATCCACGTCTGAGCCATCTCTCTCTCTCTCCCATTTTCTACGTCTTCCATTCTCCCCATACCTCCCCCTCCTCGTGTGCTCACTCCCTCTGTCCCTGTCACCCCATGTTATCCGCCCTCTCCCTCATTTGCTTCTTCATTTTCCCTTCTCTCTGCACCTTCCCCTCCCTCCCCTCTCCTCCACTCCTCCCTCCCTCCCTCTCCCTGCTCGGCTGGTGTTGCTGCCTTGCCCGCTGGGTCCCCCCCAGGGCATCTCGTGTCTCTTGAAGAGCGGCCTCGCGCTCGGCGCTTGACGCTGCAGCAGCGGAAATGGGAAATGATCCTTTTTGAAGCACTCGCGCGGACGGACGGTGATGGTGGTGGTGCAAACGTGCGAGCCAAAACGTGCGAGGGTGTTGTAACGTGGCCTCGAAGCGCGCCTGCCGCAGGCGCCGTGGTGACGTCACCGCCGCTAAGTGGCGAACGGCGGTTCTTGTTGTTGCTGGAACGTTTTAATCTGTGGGGGGGGGGGGGAAATATCTCCAGCAAAAGCCCCAATTTATTTCGGTTTTTTAAAGCCCACGATCGGCAGTGGAAATTCCACAATTCGTATGGCAGGACCAGTCTCTCCAGAGTAAGAATTACTGTCTTCAGAGGTGGCCAGGAGGCTCGGTGTTCAGAGCACAGAGTCGGAGTTGTACCGTACGCATGCTTGTACTGCCCCGTTTGTTAGCCCACTGCCGTGCGAGCCTGGGAGATTTGTTTGACCGTACTTCGCCACTTGGGTCAGTGCGGGTTAGTGAATGAAAGAAGCAATGACGTTGGTGCATATGACAGTACATCAGTGGATCTTGCTGCACCCGCCCTCTGCTGACATCTTGCTTAAACGTTTCGACACATCAAAAGAGTTTTGATTTAAAGCTTTCGTGACTGCAGGGATTCATATTCTTGGTTCTTTCGGTAAAGTCACGTAGAAGGGAAACAATAAAATAATACAAATATAAAACAAAATTCTCACGACGTTTCGACTGCAACACAAGCAATCATCATCAGGTGTGAAAACCACAGCAAGAAAATTTTAGTATTTTATTGTTGCCCTTCTACGTGACTTTACCGGAAGAACCAAGAATACGTCAAAAGAGGTTAATTATTTCTGAGACTTTGTTTTTATCTTCTCGTAGCGTTGGTCGATACATTTTTTTTAGAAAAAAATCGAAGGTGACCCGGTGGCCCCAGGGGTTTAAGAGTGTCAGCCGGCAACGCCGAGAGCCTGGGTTCGAATCCAAGTTTTCCGTCCCTTCCGTGTGCTCATAGGCGTAGAGAGTTGATGGTCTTAGCCCGGTCACCACCGACTGCACGGTAAAATCCCACCGCATTCAACTATTTTTTTGTTTGCCATCTCCTGTGCGCGTCGATAAAGTCCCCCACCCGTGTCAATTTCGAATGATCCGTTGAACCGTCGCGCGGCGGAGGCCTCCGCCTGTAGCTGGACGCGTGGAAAAACGCTGCCCCCCAGTGGCTCGGGTCAGATGTGTTCCCTCGCATCGATCGCTGAAGCAGACGAGAGCATATTTTTTTGTCATTTAAAAAAATATCGTCAAAATTAGCGGCGGCCGTTTGGGCTACGGCTCCAAACCGGTCAAGCCCTCCAAACCTGCTTTCGAGTCGAGTTGCGCCTGCTGTTCCGCACGATCTCCGACGGACGTTTCGCTCCACGTGCTGGCGGCTTCTTCGGATACGTGACCGGCTTGTTGGGGGGGTGGGGGGGGGAGAGGTGGTGGGGGGAAGGGAGCGGGTGGGGCAGTCGTTCGTACGTCGCCGCCGGCGGATCGGATCGCTCATTCCCTGCGTTTACGACGACGATAACCATCGTCGTCGCCTCCGCCGTTTCCTCCCCTTCCCCCCGCCCCCTTCCCGCCCCTCCCGCCACGCGCGTGCCGCGACAGTGCTGAGCATCCGCGGCGCGCAGGACGACGACCCCCCTGACCCGCAGCTCATGCGGCTGGACAACATGCTGCTGGCCGAAGGAGTGTCGGGCCCGGAGAAGGGTGGCCCGGGCGGCGGGGGAGGAGGCTCGGCCGCGGCCGCGGCGGCCGCCGCGGCGGCCATCGCCCACCCCGGCGGCTCGCCCGGTGACGGCTGCATCGAGCACTCGGACTACCGCGCCAAGCTGGCGCAGATCCGGCAGATTTACCACTCGGAGCTGGAGAAGTACGAGCAGGTGAGCGGCGTTGGGCGGCGGCGGGCGGGCGCACGTGTGTGCGCGCGCCCGTGTATGTGCATAGGGGGCACAGGTGGTGGTGCATCTGAGTGTCATCACAGTCGGTCAACCCCATGGCACCTGGGTCTGTCCCGTGACCTCCTGCCAGTGGGCATTCGAGACTTCACGTGTCCTTAAAGTGCAAGCAGCCTGGCACCAAGCGCCGTGGTGACGTCAACGCCACTTCGTGGCGAATGGCGGTTGTTGTTGTTGTGCGCGCTACGGACCCTGCGAGCCGAGTTTGATTCGCGCTCGCTGCCAAGACCAGTAACGATTATCTGAACCGGTCATGGGCCTCCCCTAGGTCGACTAAGCCTTAAATAAGTACCTGGTGCGATGTGTAAACATCACCACTGTGGTGCTGGCCACCCGCCACCTCGTGTGCTGTGCCGGCACCTTTATAGGTGCTACTCGCTAACAGCACTTGTCCCAGCAGTCTTTGAAACGTGTGAAACAGTGGACTGTCAAATGAAAACAATATTACGGGCTGGAACGGCACCCCCACCTTCACCGAAATTCGCGAATTCGCGAATTTCCAGGAGCGGAACGCCTCCGTGTTAAGCGGGAGATTTTGCCGTAACGACTAGGGCAAAAGAGCTTCATAGCTCATCAGATTCTTCCAGTATAAATAAATATTCTGGTTCTGTAACAGCATTGTGTGGTGGGGGTGGGGGCGGTTGAGGTGCCACGCGGGCAAATCTCCATCGACGCCGGGGCCTCCCCCCACCCTCCCCCCACCCTCCCCCCACCCCCGGGGCCTCCCCCCACCCCCCCCACACAAAGCCGGTCGCCCAGATTCCGCCATACCCTAGGTGTGCGTGTAACGTCGGAAGCAATGTGCCCAAGGAGGTGTACCGCATGGTGCCCAACATCCACTTTGCTTGTGCGTTTCTACGAGTCTCTGAGTCTTCTGTGTATTTTTACGAGCCTCTGCCTCTGTGTGAGTCTGTGTGTCTCTGTGTGTCTCTGTGAGTCTGTGTGTCTCTACGAGTCTGTGAGTCACTGTGTCTCTGTGTGTCTCTGTGTGTCTCTGTGAATCTGTGTGTCTCTACGAGTCTCTGAGTCTCTGTGAGTCACTGTGTCTCTGTGTGTCTCTGTGAGTGTGAGTCACTGTGTCTCTGTGAGTCTGTGTGAGTCTGTGTAGAATCTGTGTGTCTCTACGAGTCTCTGTGAGTCTCTGTGAGTCACTGTGTGTCTCTGTGTGTCTCTGTGAGTCTCTGTGAGTCTGTGTGAGTCTGTGTAGAATCTGTGTGTCTCTGTGAGTCTCTGTGTGTCTCTGTGTGTCTCTGTGAGTCTGTGTGAGTCTGTGTGAGTCTGTGTAGAATCTGTGTGTCTCTACGAGTCTCTGTGTAGAATCTGTGTGTCTCTACGAGTCTCTGTGAGTCACTGTGTGTCTCTGTGTGTCTCTGTGAGTCTCTGTGAGTCTGTGTGAGTCTGTGTAGAATCTGTGTGTCTCTGTGAGTCTCTGTGTGTCTCTGTGTGTCTCTGTGAGTCTCTGTGAGTCTCTGTGAGTCACTGTGTGTCTCTGTGTGTCTCTGTGAGTCTGTGTATTTATACGAGTCTGTCGGTTTATTATGTTCTTTTTCAGCCAACTTCCCAGGACTGAGCAAAACTTAGCTCACTTTTCACCCAGGCGACTGGAGAGCGGCACAGACTTAAGTGTTTCTAACCTAACATTAAAACTGACAAAAATTGTATTTAAGAGACAAACAATGCTTACTCCACCTCCTCCTCTCTCCTCGTCCTCATCCTCCTCTACCTCCTCGTGCTCTCTCTCCTCCCCCTCCTCCTCGTCGTGTGCGTGTGCGCGCGTGCGCAAGCAGGCGTGCAGTGAGTTCACGAACCATGTGATGAACCTCCTGCGGGAGCAGAGCCGCACGCGGCCCATCTCTCCCAAAGAGGTGGACCGCATGGTGTCCATCATCCACCGCAAGTTCAGCTCCATTCAGATGCAGCTCAAGCAGAGCACGTGCGAGGCCGTCATGATCCTGCGCTCGCGATTCCTTGACGCGCGGTGAGCGATTTGCCGGGGGGGGGGGGGGATCGCGAGCCGAGTCGCCCACAGCACGGTTGCCCTGGATTGGGGGGGTAGCTGGTGGGGTGGCTAGGGGGTTGGTGGGCGGGTGGATTTTTCTCCGGGTCCTCTGGATTTTCCCTCCAGAATTTAGACTCAACCGTCACACGTCTTAGTGTATTTGGGCTGCTATTAATTTCCACACGGTGGTAATAAGCTAACTCCGTTGAGCCATCATTTGCGATGGCCAAGGTCGCTTCTGAAGAAGAGCCACGTTGCTCAGAGCGGGGGACGCCTTACCTGGTAAAAAAAAAAAAGTTTAGTTGTAGTTTCAGCGTGAACGTGTGGAGGAGGTAAAAAAAAATGAAAACGGGACGACTCGAAGTGACCGACGGGAATCTCCTCGCCGTTTCTTCGCGCAGGAGGAAGCGTCGGAACTTCAGCAAGCAGGCGACGGAGGTGCTGAACGAGTACTTCTACTCGCACCTCAGCAACCCGTACCCCAGCGAGGAGGCCAAGGAGGAGCTCGCCAAGAAGTGCGGCATCACCATGTCGCAGGTGAGCCTGCGCGGTGTGGCCGGAGGTGGCATGGGGGTGCGCCGGGGGTGGGGTTTGTTTATTAAGTTTTTGAGCCAGCTAGAAAAAAGACTGAGCAAAACTTATCACTCAGTCTCTTACGTGTCTCCTACGAGTCTCTCTGTATCACTGTGTCTTTATGAGTCTTTGTGAGTGTCTGAGTCTCTATGTATCTCTATGTGTGTCTATGAGTTTCGATGTTAGTTTAGTCAAATTTGTTGAGCCAGCTGTACAGGATTGGGTAAAATTTAGGCCACATTTGACCCAGTCACCTAACCTCACATTAAAACTACCAAAAGATGTTTGCAATTTATAAGGAGTACTTGAACACCATCGATCTGCGTGAGGAGTACAGCAGGTACGTTTTCCCATAGGACGGTTACAAATCTTGAGCAAATATAATCTTGCGTATATACCGGATAGAGTTAATTTTCCTTCGAACGGCAAAGGAGATTTCATTTAGCGGGCTCATCGAGGCGCTTCGTCGTTGAGCGAGGGACCTGCTGGCATCTGACGTACGGCGCATCGGTGAAGAATCATCGTTCACGCCTCAACTTCACGCGCACACGTGACGTGTGCGCATTCCATTCCCTCCCCTCCCTCCCCCGCCCCCAACCCCCCCCCCCCCCCCCCCACCCCGTTCAGGTATCCAACTGGTTTGGGAACAAGCGCATCCGCTACAAGAAAAACATCGGCAAGTTCCAGGAGGAGGCCAACGTTTACGCGGCCAAGACGGCCGTGTCGGCCACGGGCCCTGGGGGCCCTTACGACAGCCCCGAGGGTTCCCCGCCCACCCCCGACTCGGCGGGTACGCCAGGGGCGTGCGCGGAGTACAGTACAATAAACTCGGCAGTGCGGGTTGTATTTTTAGGGCGCCACGGTGGCTCGGAGATGTTAGCTGCTTCGCCTGGTGTAGAGGAAGGAGGTTCGTGGGTTCGATCACGACCTTTGACACCTGCATATTTGGAGTTTGCGGTGTCTCTCTCTCTCCGGGTTCTCTGGTTTTTCCCTCCATATTTAGAATCAACGTGTTTTAGGGTATGTGGCTGCTATAAATGGCCACGTGATAAGCCGCTTCGTTGAGCTGTCATTTGTGGCCAGGTCGCTTCTGAAAAAGAGCTGTGGGCCTTATCTGGTAAGATAAAAATACGTTGCTTTTAGTTTTACCTGGGTACATAAAACAAAATAAAAAAAATATTGCCTAAATGCAAGCATGTACGCGGGAGCACACAAAGACAAAGATCCCCCGTATAGCCTTTAACAGGCTGTCGGGGCAAGTGCCGTTAGCGAACAACAGCGATGAAGGCCTGCACGGCACACGAGGTGGTGTGGTCAGGACAGGGCACAACCACCTTTGTCTCCCCAGTGCTGATGTTTATACACACTGCAGCACTTAGGTACACATGGAGAGACCTAGAACCAGTTTAAATATTCCTCACTTGTCATTGGTCTTAAGCGGAAATCTAAATCTGTTCGCCGATTTCGTAGCGCCACCGCTTGTACAAAGTCGCCATAACGGACGTGCGCACGCACACCCGCACGTGGACATGTACACATGGGTAGCCGTCGTGGGTGTGTGCGGTGGTCGTGTAGCGGTAAGCGCGCTGCGCTACGAAACCCAGTGACCCGAGTTCAATTCCCGCTCACGGCCAATATCGGTGACGAATATCTGAACCGGTCTTGGGCCTCTTCTCGGTCGACTCAGCCTCAAATGAGGAGCCGGTGGGGTGTGTAAACATCGTCACTAGGGAGACAAAGGCGACCGGGCGTGGTGCTAGCCACCCACCCCCTCGTGTGCTGTGCCGTCTTGCATAGGCAATTGCTAACAGCACTTGCCCCAATAGTCCTGTTGCAGGCTATACGGGGGAGCTTTGCCTTTGCATTGGTGGCGTAACGTTTTTGTGCGACTCTTCCAGATGGGTTCCCGTCTCCGTGCTACCAGTCGGAGGGGAGGATCCCGTGAGCAGAAACTGCCACGTACCAGGTAGGCGCAGCTGTGGCTCGCACCTCTGATTGATGTCTGTGGATTTGTAAGTGTTATTTAATCCTTCCCCTTTGTGTCGTTTTTAACTATTGCTGAGATTTTATTCCCCCTCCATATTCTGTCGTATTCTGCTCGAGGGCACGTGCAACGGAGTTCGCGCGCGTTCAACGTATCTCTCCGCTTAACCTCGAAGAATTTCCCCCCCCCCACCGCCTGCCACTGTCGAGCCCAGACATGCAACACACAACGCACACACAGGCACGCATGGTTGTACGTGCATAGTCATATTAGACAAAAGATAACGATCCCCCGCATAGCCTTAACACATTCTGTTTGGGCAAGTGCTGTTAGCGAGCACCTACGAAGGCTGGTACGGCGCATGAGAGGGTGGGTTGCCAGCACCACGCCTGGCCGCCTTTGTCTCCCTCGTGGCGATGATGACACACCGATATTTACACACACACACACACTGCACCAGGTACTCATTTGAGGCTGAGTCGACCTTCTTCGTTGAGCTATCGTTTGTGGCCAGGCCGCTGCTGTGAAAGAGCTATACATTGTGTAGCTTAGGTGGCCTTACCTGGTAAACTAAAAAGAGGTTTAATTTTGGAACCAGAGATGGCGATGCAGATTTGTCTTCAGATGCATCGGCCCTGGCTTCTCATACCTATTCCTCTGTCTCTCTGTCCACCCCCATCCCCACCCCGACTCTTCCTCCGTCTCCCTCCCCCCACCCCCGACAGCAGGTCCTGTGCCCTGGCTCGCGAGAGGATGACGATGAGTGGCAAGGGGCTTCTCCTTACCCGCCTGCCCCCCCCCCGCCACCTCCCGCTCCCTCCCACCGCACCACCCCCACGAAGCCGCCCCCCCCCAACCCCCTGCCCCAACCCTCCCCCGATTCTCTACCGGGACACCGGCTCAACTCCTCCGCAAGCGAGGGAAAGGGGCCCGCTCGCTCGCTCGCTCGCTCACCAAAAACCACCAAAACTAACCAAACCAAACCGACGCACGAACGGACGAGGGAAGCGGTGGCATTGGCGTCGCCGTTCCCCCCACTCCCGACGCTTTCTCTCGGACTCTTCGTGTGTAGCATGGGGGGGGGGGGGGCGGCGGGTGGGGGTGCGTCATAGCGGATTCCTGCACGCGCGACAAAAAACCTGTCAAAATAAAAGCGTGGCTGCACCGTACCCCACCCCCCACCACCCACCACCCCCCTCTGCCGCCCCCCGCCCCCCCCCCCCCCCCACTTTGACCATTTCATGGGACAGGATTGTTTTTAGGTGGTGGTTTTTGTTTATTTCATCTGGAGCCTTTCGTTTGCTCACGGTGGGACGGGGGCAGAGAGAGTTTTTTTTTTTAACTGTGCTCACGTCAAGAGCTGTTGAAAACGAGCTTAACAGTTACACTTGCATTTTAAAAAAAAGAAGAAAAATTAAGGGGGTTTTCCTTGACGTACTGTTACATTTTTGCTAACTGTTTGAACTTGTTTTGGCGTCGTTAATTTCTTTATTGGGTGGGAGGGAGAGGTTTGGAATGATCATGTTTAGCCAGCCGGCGTGTGGCATAAACATTTAGGCATTGTATGCTTATATATATATTTTTTTCTTTTCTTAGTGAATTTAGACGGAAATGCATTATTTTCTTGTTACAGGAACGACTGTGGGATGCCTCTTCAACGAGCCCGCTGTATTCGTGCGGAGTGCCGTCACAGTAATAGTTCCCTCTTCCCTCCTCCCCCGCCAACTCCGGCGGTGCTGCAAGGGCCTCCCGTGTGGTGGCGGGGTGGGGGGGGGGGCGGGGGGCGGACCTTTTGTTGCGACGGCGCGCTGCCCTCAATGTCTGTGCATCGTGTCACTTAGTCGTGGGCGTTAATAAGTCTCGGGATAACGCGCCCGCGTGTTCTCGTTTTCAAAAGTTCTTAAAGAAACGTGCGCGTGCTCTTATGTGTGCGTCTTGCACTCGTGTGTGACTTGCCAGCGGAGGGGGTGGGAGTGGGGGGGGGGGGCTGGCGGGCGGGCGGGCGGGCCGTTTTGTTTACAAGCCGTCATTGTCGAGTTAAAAAAAAAATACGACGAAAAAAATGACGGGAAAATCTGGAGATGAACTTGACCTTCGCGACCGCTAAAGTAGTTTGGACTTTCCCAACCGCTAAAGTTTGGGCCTTCTCGGCGGCCGCTGACGTCGCCGCCGCTTGTGAAAACGACGATCGGTCGGGGAAATGGCTCCCCCCAATTCCCCCCCCCACCACCCCCCCCGCCCCCCCCCCCCCCCCGGAGCGTGTGAAGGTCTTGGGCTCGCGTGCATACGGTGACAAGAAAGCGTCGCACACACACTACCTCCTGTAACACAGCCTCGCGCAGACCTCCCGAGATCACGCTGGACTGCTGTGACAGCCGACTCGGTGCGCCCCCCCCCCCCCCCAACTCCGCTTTAGTAAAAAAAAAGAGAAAAAGAATGAAAAAAAATTTCGGTAAGAAAAACTTCAAACCGCGCCTTTTTTATTTTCTGTTCTTCGCGCTTCACGTCCTCCAAGTCGCTCTTGCCGGACACGGATTCGGTCGGACCCCGCCCGCGTTTCCGCGCACGCCTCGCCGCTTGCGTCTCTCTCGCTGTCTCTCCTCTCGCTACCAAGGTCTTAAAACTGCGCATGCACGGAAGAAGAAGAAGCCGGCGCGAATCCCTGACATCCGGAGGGGATGGCGTCGCCTAGAGGTGTCCCGTCCGCGTGGCTTACTGTCGCGTGGGGGCCCGCGAGGCCTCTCTACGCGGGCCCCTCCGCGGGGGCCCTCTATCCCGTTCAGCGCGGGAACCGCTCGGCCGCGTGTTTCGGCTTTTCTGCCGCTGCGTCGCTTCCGCCGTGCGCGATCTTTGGGGGGGCTTCGGGGGCACGAGTAAAAGCGGCAGCCCCGAGCGGTTCTACAAAGTCGTGTGGCCCTCGGTAGAAGTTGGCGTTCTGTGCTTTTTTTAAAGTCTTTTCTCTTTTCTCCCTCCCGTGTTTTTTTTGTCGCTCACCGCACCGCGGGACCCCGCGTGTTTTTCTTTTTTTAATGCGAGGATCCGCAAGTGAAGTGCGACGAACCGGGATTGTGAAAAATTACTTTTTTTTACTTTGCTGTCTTTTTAAAAAAAAACTATGGTCCCCCCTCCACCCCCCCGCCCCCCCCCCCCCCAATCTGCTTTGTCCTTGCCGCCTTTATCATAATAATTGTTTTGTTTCTTTTAAACCGAGTCCACGGGTCTGCTCTGGACGAGGTCGTCCCGGACACGCTTGGGGGGGAGGTGGGGAGGGTGGCAGGCGCTGTGCCGGCAAAAAACGAAATGTCGTCCTTGGCGGATGACTTGTTGAAAAACAGAAAAACCTAAAAAAAAACACAGCAACGATGCTTCACATTTCTGCCTGTAAAGTCAAACTTAAATGTTCATTTTCGTTCTTCGTTTTTTTTTTGCGTTGAGTTGAAAGCCGTACGCTCGTTCGGGATCGTGGACGAGTTTGTGGCGTTGTCGTTCTATGGGTGGGGGCATCCACCAAGTTTCGTCCGTGATTGATGGCGGCGGGCGGTGGGGGTGGGAGCCGCGGGGGCCGCGGGGGGCTCCGTCGCTCGCTCGTGAACCCTCCCGACGATTTCATCGCCGGAGCGAAGAACGTGGGGGGTGGGGGGGGGGTTGTTGTCCCCTTGCCGCCGTCGTCCTCGCACCGTCGTGAGATGCTCGCACGACGCCGGATCCGCTCTGGGAGCGTTTGGGCCACGTTGCGCGAGGCTCCCCGCTCCTCCTGCTCGTGTTTATAATTTCTGCCGATGTTAAACTAAGGGCGGGGGGCGAATTGGGGGGGGGTTACCTTGAGCGTGCGTTGTTATTTTGGTTTTGCTCTCTTCCCACCCCCCACCCCCCACATGTTTATGTTATAACACGTGTAGCGAGTTGTGTCTCCACCTTTTTTTTCGTCTGTTACGTAGCCTGTCCCCCGTGTCGGCACCCGCGGTTGTGTCGTTCCTGCCTGGGGTTTGACAGCAAGCAGTGGGGGGGGAGCGGGTGGTCACACCCCACCACGACGACGCCGATGTGGGCTCGAGCGACGACCCCTCCCTCCCCGCCGGCCGGCGTTCTCCCCATCTCGGTCTAAAGCGGTGGCATCTGCGTCCGTTTTTTTTTTGGGGGGGGGGGGGAGATCTCAAATTGAGTATCCCGTGACCAAAAGCACGTTTGACCCCTCTCCCATACAAGAAAACAAAGTGCTGCATTTCCTGCTCAAAGCAACCACTCGGAGTTTCTTTGCCCAGGAGGTGGTGGTGGGGAGGGGGGGGTGGCGGTGGTGTGACGGCGAGGCACTTGCGACGTCCGTCTTGAAATTTTCCGACGACGGAGCGACGGTTCAATCTCAGCGGAGCCGGCAGCGATGGCGCTGGGATTAACTTTGCGGCAGGGCACCCCCCCCCCCCCCCCCCCCCCGGGCTCTCCTACAAAACAAAATAATGTTCTGTCCACGACGCCATCGGTTTGATGTGGCCCCGCCCCGCCTCCGTTTCCGTCCGGTCACCGGTAATCGCGGCGAGCGTCGGTAACGGCGCCTCGATGGCAGTGCCACACCGGCGTGGGGCCTCGCCAACATCGGCGTGTCGACGATCCTTGCCACCGCGCGATTCTCACCGGGTTAAGTGTCTCTGTGCCGGCCCCCCCCCCCCCATCCGCTTCCTCTGCCCGCCCACCACAGACTGTGGCCAAGCAAGAGCCCATCCCCCCACCTCAGCCCCCCCCTCCCCTCCCAGCTCGAAAAACAAAACAGAACCGCGACGTTGTTGGTGGTGGTGGCTGCCCCAAAGCCACCGTCACCGGCAGGGCCACCGTGGCTCCTAACCATAGCTTGGTGGATTGTAATACTTGTACCTATTTTATATTGTTATAAGGTCGTCAGAAGTTGTCATTGCAATACCAAAAAAAAAACCCTAGATGAAACAAAAAAAAAGTTACTTATATTAACGCTCGTTTTAACACTAGCTCACTGTTGTATGATTATATCATGTTTCGCTTCAGCGTGCCTCCAGTTTTGGCCAGAGGGGTTTTTTCGTTTGTTGTGTCGGCTCGTGAGCGAAGGAGGGCTACGCGGGGTATACCCACGTTGTGCCCCACCCGACAAGTTACCACCACTGCTCCGCCGTGCGTGCGCGCGCGCGTGTATATAGTACAAATAGACGGTATATTTAGTGTCGAACACGCTGCGACAAATTACGATCGGGAAGCGCGTGCCGGTTTGCCAACAGTTTCTCAGATTTGGTCACACGTCATACCATTGGAGGAGGTGGCTTCTTATTGTTGAGACGGAGAGAGGTGAGCCCCGACCCTAACTACAACACTAAACTATTTTACCAGGTCAGGCCCACTGAGCTATGTAGCTCTTTTTCTGAAGCGAACCTGGCTAGCGCAAATGATCGCTCAACGAAGTGGCTCATCGTCATCACGTGGACATTTATGGCAGCAGCCAAATACTCTAAACGCGTGACGTTGATTCTTAATGTGGAGGGAAAAACCGGAGAGGACCCAGAGAACAATCCCCACGCGATCACCACCACCACGAGAGAGAGAGACCCAAACTCCAAATATACAGCAGGCACCACCGTTGGAATCGTCCCCACGACCTGCATACCAGGCGAGGTAGTTAACATCTAGCCACCGTAATGATGAGAGAGCGAAACACCCAAACTCCAAATATACAGCCCCCCACGTCACTGCCCAAAAACATTGACGCGTGGCTCCGCCTCCTGTCACGTGGACTTTAAAGGGCCGGTTTCATGCAGTGTTATGATCCGAATCGCGGAACACTTTCACGCCTGCTTCTGAATTAACAAAAAAGTTAACTCCCTTGATCCTTGATTTTTTTGTTTCTTCGCGAACGCTTAGGAGGACTACAGACTAAACATTATCGACGGGCATTGAATTTGTGTGGCTTTGTGTAATGCATCGCGTGACCAAAATCACCTGGAGTGAACCCCGAATCTCGTTAGATCTCGGGGTGTGCTAAGCAGGGTTCAGCCTGGATGGTGCTACGAATTGTAGGGGGGGGGAGGTTTGAGTGACCCACTGTGTGTAACAGGTGTTATAGGCTGTGGGGCTACGTGGTGATGGGCAACGGGGAGGGAGGGCAGCACAGTACAATAACATTGTAACGTCCTACTCGCTCCCACAACCCCCCTTCCTCCACCCGCACGGGCGAGCCGTGGTGAAGTATGGTGACGCAACACCGGTGTGGGTCGTAGGCCCTCATCCCAGCGGTGGATTGCTAAAATGAGAGTGAGTGTGTGTGCGTGTTCACGAGGCACGCATTGGCAACAGGCCAGCAGTGGCGAACGGGATGCCGCTGTTAGGGATGGGAACATTATTTTTTGGGGCAACAACCCTTTGAATCAGCTGGGTGTGCCGACCGATCGCCACCCACGTGTGTGAGGGAGCTCATTGGTGGCGCCGCGGTTCATGCGGGCAATCCGTTACAAGAACATATTTGGCATTACGGTGTTATTGCAGTCTAGTGACGCTCACGGCAATAGCGCGTTTTTAACCTTAACCCCCTAAGCTGGTGGTCATTGTCAAACAATGACTTTGAAGTATACGGAGCTCACGCTGTTACGAATCTTGGGAAATTGCTCGCTCTTGAATCGGTAAGAGCGGTCGCCAATGGACGGTTCTCTGAAATCGAACGTCTTACCCCCCCCCCCCCGTCATAGCAATGTGGAATTTCCAACCCCCTGCCTCTGGTGGTCAAGGGCGTTGATAAAATCTATGAATGCGAACGAACACCACTCAGGTGTAACAAATATAACGTCTGCAGAAGCGAGCGCATCTTGGTCGATAGAGGCGTGTAAGACTTTGCAAGGCCTCGGCCCTTTAATTAATCTTTAATTAGTCGTTCCGACAGTTCTCCAAACACGTGCCACGTGTTTTTTCCCCCGACCGGTTCAGTTACAGGGCCTCGAGCGAGCGGAAGGCACGATTTTTACACCGTCATTAACAAAACGTGCCAAATGTACAATCCTAGAAAACGCGCGTGAATCGATGGGCCACGTGGCTGTCGGCATTCCGCACACCCCCCCCCCCGGGGGTTCAATCGCCGCCGCCTCTTCCCGATTGGTGAAATGGTTGGAAACAAAAACATGTTCCTGTGCGAAGTGGTGATGCCTGGAAGAAGACCGCGTGAACTCTCCTAACAATGGGAACGAGGCCACTGTTATTATTTGCGCCACGGATGTTCGGGTCATGCCTTCACCCCCCCGAACAAAACCTCGATAAGATCGATCGCGAAAGCCGACGTGTGAAACCAATTAAGTGGTGTTGCAAATGTCCCTCCCGCCGACCGCCGCCGACTCCTTCCCAGAAAAAACAAAAATCGTGCAACGTTGGGCCCGACGTTGAATGTTTACTCGGCTGTCCTCTTTCCCTTTAACCGTATTCCTCGGAATTGCAAAGATGCGCACCCATGCGTCACGGTAAACTTGTACAAAGCCTGGCCACACCGCATCGGGATTATGAGACTCAGTCGGAACTTGCTTTAAAATGCATGGTGGGTGGAGTGTGGTGGTGGTGGTGGGGGGTGGTTGCTGGGGGGTAGAGCTGGAAGGGTAGGGGGGGGGCTGTCTTCCAATCCGGAGAATTGTGGTGGTAAATCTTGGCGCTGCGTGTTTATTGATGGGGGTGGGAAAGGGAAAGGAGGGTTGGGGGGGATACCTCTTGGCCAATTCGGGCGCCGCTGTAGACATTTAACGCTGTACAGAGCGCGGAGCCGCTAAACGGGGTTTTGTACACGTACTGACGATATGAAATAATAATAAAAAAAATTAAAACATTAACCAAGGAGACCTGACGTCTGGCGACCTTGTGTGGTGGTGGTGGTGTTGCTCGCCGGGTTGGTGATGAAAATACACGTCTGGAATGTTTTGGCTGTAGTCCACCCGTTACTCTGGAGTGTACGAAGCCACTACAGAGTGTCTGAAGCCACTACAGAGTGGCTGAAGCCACTATAGAGTAGCTGAAGCCACTATAGAGTGCCTGAAGCCACTACAGAGTAACTGAAGCCACTACAGAGTGACTGAAGCCACTACAGAGTGACTGAAGCCACTACAGAGTGACTGAAGCCACTATATAGTGGCTGAAGCCATTATAGAGTGGCTGAAGCCACTATAGAGTAACTGAAGCCACTCTATACTGTAATGGTGTCTGTAGCTGACACCATTGCAACCATTGAAGACTTGGTCCAACAAGGACTGAATCCAGAAGTGCCAACTTTGGTAAGGTACTGCCTGGAATGGTACATTCTACAAACAAAATGAGGGTACCCTAATGGGTTCTCCCTTATCGCCAGTGGTAGCGAATGTTTTCATGGAGAAATTTGAGACAGATGCCATCCAGACTTCCACCCTACGTTCTTCCTTGTGGAGGAGATAAATAGATGACACGTTCGTCATCTGGCCACATGGCCTGCCAGCATTGAACCAATTTCTCAACCACATCAATTCCATAAACCCGTCTATCAAATTCACCATGGAAGTGGAAAAGGATGGCAAGCTACCATTCCTGGATGTTTTGATTGAGAAGCAACTTGATGGCTCGTTGGGACACTCTACAGGAAAGCCACCCACACGGATGCCTATCTAAAGCCTGACTCCCACCACCATCCAGCCTAGAATAATTCCCTCATCAAAACACAACACCATAGGGCCCGTTGCATCTCCGACCAGCACCACCTAGCCAGTGAGTTGAAGCACGTACACCAAGCCCTCAGGATGAACGGATACTCGGACCGTACAATCCTCAGAAGGTTGTCTCCCCAGCAATGGGTGACAACCTTCTGTGGATCCAACCAATACCATCAATTTACCATACATAGCAGGGGTTACCAAAAAGATTTCCAAAATCTTAAACAACACAGTACACAAAATCCGTGATTTAATCCCATCTGTAAAGGGTGTGATTCCTGACATGGTGTCTACAAACTGAGTTGTGGTTGCGGCAGCAGTTACATTGGGGAAACGAAACGACATATCTCGGACCGCGTTCGTGAACACAAAGCAGATCTGAAACACGGTAGGACCAATACCTCTGCCGTTGCTGATCATTGTTTTAACGCTGTGGGCTCACGCGAAATTGATTTTTCCAAGACGGAGGTCCTCTGCAAACCTACCGGCTACCTTCAGAGATTTATTCATGAAGCCATCCAGATATATAAACACAGACACAACTTCAATTGAGAAGATGGGTACAAACTGAGCAATCATTGGAAGGACGTTTTTAACCAGGTAAAGTCTTAACTGACTGATGTTTCCATCCTACCTGCCTATGTCAGCTGTTATTTGCGATTCTCTGTCTCACTCTCTATGCCTCTGTTAGATCTGTCATGCTCACATGTCCTTTGCATTGCACTCTCATGCCTTTGGATGACACTCTCATGCTCACAGGCCCTTTAGATTGCACTCTCATACTCACATGTCCTTTAGATTGCACTCTCATGCTCACATGTCCTTTAGATTGCACTCTCATGCTCACGTCCTTTAGATTGCACTCTCATACTCACATGTCCTTTGGATGACACTCATGCTCACACGTCCTTTAGATTGCACTCTCATACTCACATGTCCTTTGGATGACACTCTCATGCTCACACGTCCTTTAGATTGCACTCTCATGCTCACATGTCCTTTAGATTGCACTCTCATGCTCACATGTCCTTTGGATGACACTCTCATGCTCACATGTCCTTTGGATGACACTCTCATGCTCACACGTCCTTTAGATTGCACTCTCATGCTCACATGTCCTTTAGATTGCACTCTCATACTCACATGTCCTTTGGAGTGCACTCTCATGCTCACATGTCCTTTGGATTGCACTCTCATGCTCACATGTCCTGTGGAGTGCACTCTCACAATCGCAGGACGTTATTAACCAGGTAAAGTCAT